CTGGGGTCCGGATTTTTGACCCAGAAACGGCGGGATATCGTTAGACATCTTTTTCTTTCATGCATACCTAGTAGTACTGTAGGTACCGTACGTAACGATAAATGTCTATGTGCAAATGCAAGGCAGGCGATTATGCGTTTCGGCTGTAGGTATGGTCTAGGAGCAACTGCACATAATCTTGGTTTCTTGTTGTTGTGTCTCGAAGCTTTTCACTCTATATGTCTGTCTAACATGGAACCAGCTGAAGACAACAATAAATGTCGACAAAGGATGGTAGGATGCAGAGGTTCTGTTTGGCTGGTTCTTCTTCTTCTTTCTCGTCAAGGTAAGTCTCCTGGGCAGAAGATGCGGTGGATTGCAGATGTGCCCCTCAAATGAAGGAACCTGAACAAGGCAAGCCTTGAAGTCAGGACACGGGTATACCTGCCCTGTGATTTGACACTCGACTTTCAAGTTTACTCCGTGGACATACACTCCCGGAGATTTCGATTCGCAAGGTTCCAATGGGGACGATCGTCAATGGAGACCAACGGACTATCGCCCGGGTATAAAAGGGCGTTCGCGAGCCATTCTCGAGCCACTATAGGGCCCGAATGACCCCAAGTGATGATCGCAAATGACCCTAATAATCGACGTATAGCCGGTGCCTGTCATTAAATACTGTCAGTCCAGTGGTGGATGTTTGGACTGGGTTTCAGAAAAGCAAATGTCCATTCATGCCCCTGACGACAGTTTGCAAGGCTGGTTACCAATGCAGGGTAAGTAGCAAGTCAGCAAGGTAGCTCGGTCGTCCGAACAGGATCTTCGCCGCTTGGCGATTGATGTGTAGGTATGGCACAAAGTACGTGGTCTTGATTATGTGAGGTTGCAAGCTGAAGAATGAAGAGATGACAAAAACTGAAGACGTGAAATAGATGGAAGCTGAAAGACGCACGGTTTGGGAAAGTAGAAGTCAGCAGTTTCAGGTCGCTTACTGCTAAGCTTGTAGAAATTGTTAGTGCAATGCGTGCCTTGTGCTTTTTTCCTTTGCGGGAGACGGGAAGAGCAACAAGTGAGTGACTAAATCGGGGGGTGGATCGACAGGGCATGGGACATGGGCTCCTGGGTCAGATCGGAATCCAATATCGGCCCCTTCCATTTCTGGTACCTTGTCTCCTTGTCAAAGACTCAAAGCTGAGGAGGCCTCGTCCACTTCATCATCATTATTCGTAGGTGTGGTCGGACAATTTTGAGAAAAAGGCAGATCGATATAGAAAACGGCATGTTGAACCGGTTTCCGCGGCTGCTGCATGGGGTCGGAATCATGTTTATGGCCCCCAGCATTTTGGGGCCCATTCAGAGCAAGCAATGGTTATTGTATGGACTGTTTTTCTTTGTTTCCGACGACTGACTTTCAGGTGGTGTATGTCATCTCTCCATACGGTAGGTCGTGGGGGTCACGCATCGGGACTTTTTTTTCAAGTTCGTTTGGGCGAGAACACAGCAAGAGAGATGTGAGAATACTGTGTAGTCGTGTGTATCCAAAGCCTTGCTGTGATCATCCACCTACCTCATTTGTCTCCGGTCGCCATGCTCCACGAGTGCTGAACTGGACTGAACTGAACTGAATTGTCAGGAGATGTCCGAAAGACCTTCTTGGTGTAACTTTTACGGGCTCCGAGACCCGCCACATAACAACGGGGAGATTTGGCGTGCACTCAAGGTCTACGCCATATCCCCTAGACTCCCCAAAGATGACGGACAGATTTTCCCCGGTGAAAAGGAGAATAGCAAGTCTGTCCGAGTGATGACAGCCAAGTGGGTGTCGGGATGTTTCGAGACGGTGGTCATGATGATGTTCGTCGGAAATGGCTGCCACGAGAGGGAGCCAAGATTGGCCAAGCGCGTGTCCCTATCCGATCCGCTGCCCTACCCAAATGAGGTACATGAAGAAGGAGCGTGGGAGGGCAAGCAGCGCCGTTTGGGGTTCCTTGTCCATCGTGCCGAACGCTATGTAAATGCGAGTAACGCAGTTATACGGCAGGAACTGAACCTGTTATGGAAGCCGTCGGTGTACCAAAGCTGGACGAAAAGTGGTTCATGGAAAGTTTACGGTCGTACGGTATAGGCAGTTATGGTGGTACTCAAATGCCCTGCGAGGATTATCATTCTCTTCAGTCGCGGTTCCATCTTCCCAACATTCCTTTTCCGATGGGAGCCAAACCAAATACTACTGGAACGTGGCCAAAGAGAAGTTCCAGATTTTCTAGAGCTTCTTTTTCGGTCCTTTTTGTATGTGTAGAAGGAGGAGAAGGTATGGCTCTGGAAGGGATGGCTTGCCTCTAGAAGGAAGGGCATCGTGGCGAGCCACTCAGCAGTTAGTACTTGGCGGCCATACAATTGTGTGCCATGTAACCGTGGGTCTGGCTGATGTTCTCAACTGCGTGGCTGTTCCTTGGACTCCGATCTGACCCACGATTTCATCGAGTGTTGATCAACATGTTCATCAGTCTTTTAGTGTTGTTCTTCAGATATCAATGTCCAATCTCCCCCTCGGCCGTGTGGTCTTGTCTCTTGGTCTTGTGTCGGCTGTTGTTATAGTCAAGTAAAGCGCAGGATGTTTCTGTCTCGGTTTATGTCTCTGATGGGCCAGGCGAACGGAATTCCGCCCGTTTATGGGTTTGGGCTGCGATTGGCCCTGTTTCAACGCCTCTTCCATTTCCATTTCTCTGTGCATTCGAGCCGTGCTCCGGGTTCCTGACTGCTGACCTGACTGACTCCCTGTTGCCGCTGTTGTCATGCCTTGCCTCCTGCCTTTTTTTTCTCTTCGGAATCAGGGGCTTCTTGGAGAGGGACTCTATTGCCAATCTGCATGTTCCTGAGGCGAGGATATGGAGGTTGTATGGACTGCAGGTTAGGATAGCTGCCGAATAGCTGCTTGCTTGCCGGCGGCGTGACCAAGTCTGGATAACAAGGCTCAGCCTGGAATGGAAGGTGTTTTCTTGGTCAAGTTCAATGCGAAAAAGTGTTGTCACCTTGCCGGAGGCCGGGTACCTGTTCAGAGTCAACATCCTTTGCGGACGAGGTTCCTGGTTAGAGATGCTGCAGGGGAGACGGCAAGTCAAAGCTCCCTAGTCTCTAGGCGGCCTGAGCGTTGGCGGGCGGCATCTGTGCTGTGGAAGGTATGTACAAGCGAGATACTGCATTAATTTTATGATACCGAGACTTGTGCCCAGAATTGTTAGTGAACGATCACTGAAGTCTGCCCCTCATGTCACGGGGCACTCATTCTTTCCGTCATCGACACGAGCTGTCCATTGAAGTCGAGACCCGTGGACTGAGGACTTCCAAAGAGGAAGAAATCTTGGGTTCTCCTGCTGCACTTCCTCATGCATAAACGCAGCTTCGTTGGGATGAAAGCGCGGACATACCTTATGTAAGCAGGCGCAGATAGGGTCAATCTGTAGGCTTGGTGGATGCTTGTTTGATTTTCCATGCGACAGCGGCCCAGTGCATCCATTCAGCATCCATCGAATCCCCGCCCGGAGGAACAGCCCCTGGAAATGGAATTATATGCGAACTTCCTTCCTTCTGCCCCATCATGTTCATGTCCGTTGGCGTTGTCAATGTCATCGTTGTCAAGACTCTACATCTGCTTGTACACGTTCCCACCACTCTGTGGTTTCTTGCCCAGAGGTAGCCTGGTAGCCTCTCCATATCCACGGGGGGGCATGGTGACTTGGCCAAGTTGGCTCAGAGAGAGCGAGTCCTGTCCCGTGGTCAGGTCTCCCTTGTGGTGCTTGGCCTAGGAAATCTTTCTTTCCCCCGGATCGACCACTTGACCAAGCATCCGCCGCTGAGCCAATCAATCAGCTGCTTGGTCCTCCCATGGTCCTCCGTGGTTCCTCCACTAGACCGCCCACTTCTTGGACATCGATTCGCAGATTCGACACAATTGTCCCCCCCCCCCGTTTCGAGGTTCGACCACCGGTTACTTTTTAGCCCCGAGTCGTCTCCGTTCTCCGTCCTAGTTGCGCCACCGACCGGCAGCGAAGGAAGCGCTCGAAAAAACAAATGCCTTTTCGCTCCACTCTCCCGACAACAACTCAACTAGGCCCCCCCCCGACCGTGCTGCCGACCATCAGACCAACAGAGAGAGACCAGGACTAGACTAGAAGTCCACTTTCTTCCACCAGGTTTCTGACCCGACCGACCATCTCCCGTCCCCCCGTCACATTCTCCGTCCGTCCAGCTTGTCCTCCTCCTCCCTGTTGCTTGCTTAATTCCACCACAAGCAAGACAGACAGAGAAATCTTGATTGTCTGCCACCGACGCCTCTCGATCGACCGCTCACCCGCCTACTGCCCACGGCCCCCCGGCCGCAGAAACGAGAACCCCATTGTCTGGGACAGCTTGGGTCTACAACTTGCATGCGAGGCTACCTACCGGCTACCTGTCACCAGTTACAACACCCATCCCATCTTTGTCACTCACACAGGGTCCAACCGCTGCCACTTTGAAAGAGCGCTTTAAGCGGGTCCTGGCCACAAGCTACGGGAAGTAGCAGGAGGCAAGACACAAGCCTCGAACCTCCAACAGGCCGCCGTCGCGAACAAAGCATACACAAGGAAGCTAGTCTACACATCGACACGGTGGGGGACTTTCTTGACCGGATTGACGCGCAACAAACTATCAGGTTCTTTTGCGCCACGCGATGAGGTAGGCTAATATTCCCCCCTCCACGTTTTATCCGGTATGGGGTCTTCGCTGCGCAAACAATGCGCAATCGAGGTGGAATGGATCCCTTGTGGGTGAGGTGGTCCGAGGTTCGCCGTCTATCGGCCGGCCTGCCATCTGGTCCATCGCCGGATTCCCTTCCGCTGCACGGAACACACCAAACATGAGTCGTCCAATGTCCGGTCCAGAATGCTGGATCGGATGGGACATACTCTTTCTGCCTCAATCTACCTCATCTCATATTGCGCTTTTACTAACGCAATCGTTGCCCATGTACAGTGAAGATGGCTACCGCAACTGAAAGCGCACCGAGAAACCACCTAGCCGAGAAGCAAGAAGACTCAATGGGTGGAAGAAACCTACCGATCATCACACCGACCATCCAAATGTCGGCTCCCCCGGGCGATCCGATGGACATTACCCCCAGCAACAGCAATAGCAGCAGCAATAGCAATAGCACCAACAACACCACCACCATGGCAGCTCCAAGCAATCCGGATGTAGCCCCAAAGAGCCCGGCTGAGGACAACTTGGTAAACGCTCAGGCAGTCCCCAATGGCCGACCGCAACTGTCATCCGCAAACGACCAGCTATCGCCCGACAACATCATCATGCCGGCACCGGCTGCCGCTGCCCCCGCGGTTCACCAGCCCAAGATTGTTCAGACAGCCTTCATCCACAAGCTATACAACATGTTGGAGGACAAGTCGATACAGCATCTGATATCATGGTCGCCCACCTCTGAGAGCTTTGTTATGCAGCCTTCGCAAGAGTTCTCCAAGGTCTTGGCGTAAGTTGGGAGATTACCGCTAGCATGGGACTGAATCGGTCGCTAACAGCCAGCAGCCAATACTTCAAACATACCAACATCTCATCCTTTGTCCGGCAGCTCAACATGTACGGATTCCACAAAGGTAAGGAATCTTCTGCGCCAACAAGTTGTCAACAGTCACTAACACGTCACGTTCAAAAGTGAGCGATGTCTTCCACCATGGAGCTCCAGACGCCACTATTTGGGAGTTCAAGCACGGCAACGGCAACTTCAAGCGCGGAGATCTGGTTAGCTTGAGGGAGATCAAACGTCGAGCTTCTCGGCATTCTCTGGTACACAGAGAGTACAACAACAACCAAAAGGCCCCGCCATCACAGCCAGGCACCCCGGCTGAGCCTATGCCTCCCATGCAGGAAATTCAGGGAGGAGATCCCCGGCTTAACAGTATCGAGCATACTCTGTACGATCTCAGCACTCGACTTCAGCGGCACGAGGAGAACGCCCAGTTTATGCATATCAAGCATCAAGCCATCATGGATACAGTATCGCGCTTGCTCCAATTCAATCATGAGCTTTCGCGGGCCGTACTTGCCCTCGCTCCTTCACCCGAAAACCCGATACACCATGATGGTAAGTTCTTTGCTGACAAGTTTTGTGTGGCCGACTCACTAATATGCTTTCCAGTATCGGCTTTGCAAGGGCAGGTCCAGCGTCAGATGGAGGTGTTCCGCTCACTAGATGAGCCTCATGAGTCGGTCTTCGCTAGTACCCGTCCCTACTTCTCAAATGTGGAGAATGCCCCCGTATCACCGCGGCAAATGCCCCAGGACGACTCGCGGAGATCCGGTCCTACGTTGACGGTTCCCGGCCAACCACCTCGGCTATCGAGCTACAACACTTATCGTCCCGCCGTCCCTTCGAACCTATCGATAAGTACCCCGGGCCGTAGACCATACGGCTCCACCAGCGGCAACTCGGCAGGAACATCTCCATCTTCCCTCCGCCCGCACCCGCCGCCTCCCCCTCCGCATCCGCTGTCGAACGTTGACCTGCACCCGGGCTTGGCTAGGAGACATACCTCTGCCGATATCCGTGCTCACGGTTGGCAGGCTAATCAAGCTCCTCCTAACCCTCCTCCAACCTTTTCTGGACCCCCATCCTCGCAATGGCCCTCGTCGCCAAATCGTCCTGGGTTGTCGGAAGATCAACGCATTAGGGATTCGTTCTCGCATTACTCTTTGCAGTCTGCTTCGCAGCCTCGTTCCAGGCCGGCGTCACCGCCACCCCCTCCTGTCTTCCCTACTAACGGAGGAGGGGATACCTTTGGAAATTGGTCGTGGAATTCGGCTGGCCGTGATAACAAGAACCTCTCGGTGAGGGACCACTCGGCACCACCTACCAGGAGAGGAAGCATGGCCCATATCTTGAACCCAACCGATACTGCGGAAAGAGACGACGAGGATGAGGATCCCCGAGGCGACGAAGACCGGAAGCGAAAGCGACTGGGGTGAGGATGTCCAAACACATTGAGACATCAAACTGTCTGTATAACACCATACAAACCAAACGCATATGAATTTCCTCGAGACTTCGGGGTATACAATGGTGTCAGCAAGTTCAGTTTGGAAAACATTTCAACGAAATAAACAGCGCTCGACACGTCGATCCCAACATCTGATAAACCATCATCACCACCATCCTCCTCTTTATCATTAATCAAAATAGCTTTCTCATTTCCAACACACATACGAACTGATCGTACCAATATCATTTTCCTTTCAATGTTTCCTTGTTGCTAGAATACTGTGTTTCTTTTCTTCGCGGTGGATCCGGGAGATGCCGTTGGATAGTAATTGGATACTTACAAGCTACAATCTACACTAAACTGACCTAATGCTTGCGTGGCTATTTATGTCCTATTCACACAAAGTTTTCCTTAACCTCTATATTTTATATGTTCTTTCTTGTTTGTTCGCTTTGCATTGATCACGGGGATTGTAGGGGAGCATGGTGTGGAATGGTGATATGGACGGAGCTGGTATGGGCTTGGGTGTGGTTGTGTTTTCCGGAAAAAACGGGCATCAACGAGTGAGACTCGAACGGGTGACCATCCCTTTGACCAAGCTCTCTCTCGACGAGCGGGTGTAATGTACCAGTAAGTAGTGTTAGTGCTACAATAATCGAATCACAAGAACAAACCAACCTGCACGTTAGGG